GTAAAGATATTGCCCTTAAGACAGGGTTCCAATAAGCAGCAGTTCTGAATACACTCCCTAAAGTCTTCAATACTATGAAGACAGGGAGCCACATGTCCTTGGTGTTCAGTAAGGGAGGTGACTGTGTTAAAATCCCCTCCTACAATCCAAGGTTGATCCCCTGGGTCATGATCCACCATAGAGTCCCAGAGGAGAAGCCTATCTGCTCTACAATGTTTTCCATACACAGAGCTGATAAACAAAGGATGATCAGAAGTATTAAAGAGGCATGTAGTGATTTGATCTCCTTCTTGGACCTGTTGGAGATTAAGAGTGTTGCAGTCCTAGAAGATCCAGCACTTATTGAATTGAGTGGAAAAACCATGAGAAAAACCAAGTTTGATTTTATAGTAGTCCAATCTTTTAGCTGCTACTATAGGTTCAAAAATAGCCAGGAAAGAAAATTTGTGAGTCTTGCTAAGAAGAAGAAGTCTGTTGAGGGATGATTTAATCCCACAGATGTTCCAGAAGAGGGCTTTCATTGGGAAAAGGCTACTGAGGAACTCTTATTAGCTGACCTCAATCTTGATTTAATATTGGTGTTGAAAATTGTCTCCATGTCCCTAATTTCCTCCTTTTGGTTATTAATTTTTTTATCAGTCACAGAGGGAGGTTCATAGTCCAGCATAATTCCAAGATCTTCACAATCTGACTCATCACTATCAGAATCACATTGAAGGAGAGGGGAGAAGCTAGACTCTTCAATATTAGGGAGGGGTTTCCAAAGAACCAGAGCCAATTTATTAATCTCAGGATAATTGGGAGGGACAGGATTATGAATAATAACCTCAGCATTATTAATGGGGCCAGGGGAAGCATTAGCAGTGGGGGGACTGTCCTGTAATTGGAACTTTTCTTTCTCCATACTGGACCTGACCCACATTTTTTGGAGGTGACCATTATCCAATTATCCTGGCTAGGCTATTTTCCCTTACCTATAGAGGAATCTGATTGAACCGGTTCAGATTGAGCCGGTTTGTGAACATGAGAGTTCTGGGTTGGATCCTTCATCTTTCTGCAGCTGTTCTTCATATGACCAAGCTTCAAGCATGAATGGCAGTAATATGGGACATTTTCATAAATGAGAGGGGTAAATGAATCTTTATCACCTAATCTGATGTGCATCTTGGCAGGTAATGGATTAGAGACATTCGCCTCCACACAGAACCTAGCCAAATCTGGTCTTGTGAAGTTTAATGTGCTCTCATCCACTTTGAGAGGCCTACCCAAAGAGGATGCAATGTTGAAAAGAGCTCTTTGATCATGCAGGAAAATAGGGAGGTTAGGACAAGAAACCCATACAGGAACAATGGGACAGTCCACCCCCTCCTTGTGATCATGAGTCCATTTGGTAACAACCATTGTTTGACCCCCAACATGCCAGGTTTGTCTAAGGAAGATACGTTGATAATCATCTTCAAGCTGGAAGTTAATGAGTACCTGATTGGAAGAAGGTTTTCCAACTGTGAACTCTCCTTGAAGTCCAAGTTTCTGCAAGAAATTCTTCATCACTGGGTATGGAGGCCTGCGACTGAAAGTGCCAATGAGAGCATTCTTGAATCTCCTAAAAAGTAGTTGGATGTCATCAAAAGAGAAAGACATTGATGGCACCCCTTTGTAAAAACCTTGAGTAACACCTTGTAATTTTTCTTCTTCTTTGAATGTATTGAGAACTTCAGAAAAAAGTTTCTTCCGGCCACTAATTCCGGCACTCATTGCCGGCGGAGTCTCTCTCTCACTAGACATTTTTATATATTATATATATATATATATATATATATATATATATATATATATATATATATATATATCAACCCGAAAGAGACCACCAAACTCGGTGGGGTAAGGTCCAGGCCGCCCTTACCGGCTTTATTAATTAAAAATGTGAATACACGTTCGGGGAGGACTAGACCGAAGCCCCGAAGGTAGGACAAAATATATCAAAATTACCAATAGAAACAAAATTAAATCCGTGACAAGACAAATCTAAAAACTAGGAAAGGATCCATTTCAATCTGCAGACTCAATTCTTGTCTCCTCTTCCGCTGAGTGTTTAGTATTAAATCTTTCCATCGGTGAGTTCCAGTTCGAATATTGATCTTGGAGATGTCTTCGCTTCTATGGGGAAATTCCTTCAGTGAAATCATCGTTGACTCCCCTCCTCCTAATCGAATGCCTGCTATGAATCCCAATCTTCTCCACATGTAAGTACTTCCCACTGAGGCTGAAGATTTCAAACCCCAAGTCGTATAATTCTTGGTCTCTGATCATCCAGCTCTTTTTCCTATGTAGCCAATTCCATTGCTGAATGGTTGTTTTAATTCCTTTTAGCGCTGTAGACATAGCAGGGCTATCTTCATTGTAGATTGCTGCAGGGTATATTTTCCAAATGTTCCATGCTATAATACCAGGTATAACCATTCTCAAGTTACCTATTTGTGTCTTACTATTTGCTCTAAGACCCCATTCTAGGAAATGTTGTCTCAGTGTGATACCTTCTCTTGCTCTTGGTCCTTGTAGGAGGTTAGCAAAGAAGTTCCAAATGTTGATGCTGAATTCACAGTGGAGAAGGGTATGGTTAACATTTGTTTCCCATGATTTGCAGAGTGGGCATTGTGAATGTAGGTGAAAGCCAATTTGGATGTATAGCTGTGGGAAAGGTAAGATGTCATGTAGGATTTTCCATTGGAAAATTTTAACACTTGGGATTTGAAGCTTGTGCCAAGCCANTTCCCTGCATGCATTGTATCCTTGTTTAAGTGTGAACTCTCCCCCATCCCACTGCATAACTCCATTATGCAAACCTGAGTGTTCTTCTGCTATATTTGCGACTCTACAAATTCTCTTCCAATTAGGGGAATCCACTATTTTTTCCCGGAACGAATTCCTCCTAAGATACTTGTCTCTTATGAATAAGGCCCATATACTATTGCCCGTCTGAGCCTTCCACCATATTCTTATAGAGTAGGCCTTTTGCAGATCCATGATATTTCTCAACCCCAGACCTCCCTCTTCTTTAGGTTTGCAAATACCTTCCCATTTTCTCCAGTGATGTTTGGCCTTACCATTTGTGTAACCCCACAAAAAATTAGCCATTACCCTATTTAGCTGATTGATAATAGATAAAGGCAGACGATGTATAGCCAAGTAGTGCAAAGGAATTGATGAAAGAACATGCTTAATGAGGATGAGTTTTCCCATAGGATTCAGCACTTTGCTATACCAGGAGGTTATATGCTTTTCAAAGTGATCTAAGAGTCCCTGACAGTGTGTTTTATTAATCTTTCCCTTGCAAATTGGAACTCCTAGATACTTAAAAGGCATTTTATCACTTTTCATCCCCAAGGCTGCTTCCATTTTGGTGATCTTGTTGTTAAGGACCTTTCTCCCAACATAGAATCTAGATTTGTTGTAGTTAACCTCCTGTCCAGACCCTTCTGTGTACTCCTTTATCAAGGCTCTGAATTTTAAGAAGTTTCTAATTCCTCCTCTTAAGAAAATTATGAGGTCATCAGCATATGCTAAGTGGCTGACAAGGAAATTCCTTCCTGTGTTTAACCTTTGGATACACTTCCTTTCCATAGATGTTTTATATATATACATATATATATATATATATATATATACATATATATATATATATATACATATATATATATATATATATATATATATATATATATTCAACCCGGGACATGCTTCTGAAACCTCACTGGATCCTATCCCATTAGAAGATCCATTGGTAAATATATATGAAAGGAATATGGCACTCTACAACAATGCCATTGAGGATTTGCCGCATGAAAGAGATGAGCCTCTACTTTACACACACTCAGATGGAGAAGACAAAGTCTTTATAGATTATAAACTTAAACCCCTCCAAATTGACACTTCTAGGTGCTCTAAGACTCCATTATTGCTGGGAAGGGTGTTTAAAGGTCGGAAAACCTACTCTCCTTCTCAAGTGGTCACAAGAAGTAAGGCGAGACTTCTTGCTGAAGGTCGAAAAAAGTCTCCTTTGGGATGGTTTGAGGACCCAGATGAGACAGCAAATACATTCGCAAATGAAATTATACAAGCTTTCAAACAAAGCTGTCCCGTAAAAAAGGAGGTTACCCCCAAACAACCGCTTACCCGTAGCCAGAAAAAGAAAGCAAAAAAGAAGTTAAAGCTTGCAAAGGTAGTGGAACAAAATTGGGACGATTATGAAGATGACTATCTCTAACACTTATCTACGGAAGGGTTTATTTCTTGCTTCTCTCATTTTGGGATTATGCAGAGGTATGATTTTAGAGTTATGAATCTCAGTGCATAGGTAATTGCTACCTATGGTGATTTAAGGTTTGTTTCTTTTGAGGCTTAGTAACAGTCGTCTTCATGGTCTCTGGTGTCTGAGAGTGGGAGTAATGGAGCTGCAAGACTCCAACCTCCTTGTTCCATGCCATGATTTTTGCCTCTTTTATTTGGTTTCCAACACATATGCAGATCCAGTGAGATGAGTTTTGGCCTCACTCTGTTATCTAGCGCAGATCCTGAGTTAAAGGGAGCTATTTCATCTGATATGAAGAGCCGATACTCTCCCATTCTGACTTTGTATTCTATAGCTTGGAGCTACAGCCTGGTCCTACTTTACACTCAACTTCTGCAGACTACAGCTTGGTTCCTTGGTGCAAATTTCAACAAACCTGTATTATTGAAGTCCATGTAGATTTTTTGGAATGTTATCTTTGTTTGGGATATCTATCCTTTGGTGCATGTATTTCCATTTATCTTCCTTGGCCGAATTGTAGGGGCATCTGGCCACCCCATTTGTACTGTTCTTTTTTCCTTTTTAATAAAACTTTCCTTTAATATATATATATATATATATTTTAATGAAAATGAAAATTATTATTAAAAGAGGATATATATATATATATATATATATATATATATATATAATTTTAGAGAGAGAGGATGGCAGCGGTTCTCTCCGGCAACGGGTTAGGGATATACGCCGACCCAGATACTATGGCGAGCCACTTCAATTTCGTACAGCGAGGATCTGGAAGAAACCTGAGAGACGAAGATATTGGAGGCGCTCGAACTCGGGTCCAAATATCAGCGCAGATGGTCAGGTTACTCTATCAATTGAGAGTAAAGACTTTGAAATTTCACCTGAAGGGCAGTGTATCAAAATTTCAGAATCCAAATCAGGTAAAACTCGATTCTTAACAATCTCTTGGGCTATTGCACACTGGTTGGTCGATATTGTTACCAGGCGTGATTTCTCAAATGAAAATTGGGAAATATCTAGATATGATGGGGATTTCTCTGTCAAAGTCTCTTGGGATTCAAATCGGTTTGGACATTTTGCACGTATAGAGTCAAAAACAGGGTCTTTGCCTAACCAGATTATCATTCCTGCTGGTTTCTATTTAGAGGGGCTTAAACTTTTCAGTAAGGGTCTATCTGAATTATTGAGGAACTCAAAGGAATTAAATAATCACCTGCCAAAGCCACTGCCAATTCAAGAAGGTCTTGGGCTGGTTAAAATTTGCAAGGATGAGGGGTGGAGATGCTATAATGGAGTTCCTTCTGCTACTATATGTGATAAAGAACAGATTAATACTGAAAGTAGGGTAATTGTTGACCTCACTATGGAGGAAGAGATGGAAAGTTTGCAAAGGCACACTCCATTGGCAGAGGTTCCTTTAGACCAGGGATGTCTGGATATTTTTCATCAAGTTATCAAAGATAACATGAACCTCTTTAGGAAATCAATTGCTAGCAAACAGTTTTTGGATGCTCTCAATAAAGGACAGATCCTCAACTACTCAGAGGAAGTCGTTAGGGTTACTAGAGAAGCAATCAAAAGCTTTGAGTATATTGATGCAGCAACAATGGAAGGTGCAAGGTATCCGGTGTACCTTGCTTATGCGAAAGAAGATATGAATGTCGTTCTAGCTCATTTATGCGGTGAACAGGATTGATTAGGATTACACTCTGGGCAGGGGTTATTTCCAGTTTCTTGGTCCTTCTTTTATGTTGTTTTGGTCCTTCAAAGCGAATTGAACCAGGGGTTTTGAAGTCCTGGGAAACAGCTTTTGTTTGTTCTATTAATTTTGTTGCAGTTTTTTGGGTTTTGGTCGTCATCAGTAGGTGCTTGGTTATTGATTGGTGACTAAAAGCTTTAAGCTCTTGTTTAGTGTGCAATCAAGATTGGTGGGTGAACTTTACATCACCCTTAGAATTTACAGGCTTCATTTGGAGACTTACAGAGTTACAGGTTCTAAAGCTTGAGTTTGGGCTACGCACTAAGCTTTCTAAGGCCAGTAGACCCCCCTATTCACACTCTCTTCTTCCTGGTACCTTTTACTAGGATGAGGCCTTGGTTTTTTTTTTTCTGTTGTGTGGTATATTGGAGGTGTTACAATTGAATCTGGTCCTGTCAAAGTATGCTTCAACTTGCTTTGACACCGAGGACAATAATGGCGTTTATGTGGACCCCTCCACTATAACCCTGGTGCTGATCCAAGAAGAACTGACCAACACAAGCTGGATGTTTGGACTTGTTGGTGTCTTTACCCAGTCGTGGCTTTTGTACTGTGCCTTTATCTTTGGACTTTTGCTTTTTGGATTTTTGTTTTGTTTGTGTTTTAGGGATGCAAGGCATTATGTAGGGGTCTCAGCCAACCCCCTTGTACTTTTCTTTTACTTCTAATAAAAAACTTCGTTTAAATATATATATATATATATATATATATATATATATATATACACACATATATATATACATATATACATATATATATACATATATATATATATATACATATATATATATACATATATATATATATAAATATGTATATATATATACATATATATATATATATATGTATATATATATATATACATATATATATATGTATACATATATATACATATATATATATATATACATATATATATATATATGTATATATATATATATGTATATATATATATATACATATATATATGTATATATATATACATATATATATATATGTATATATATATATGTATATATATATATATGTATATATATATATATGTATATATATACATATATATATATATATATGTATATATATATATATATATATATATGTATATATATATATATACATATATATATATATATGTATATATATATACATATACATATATACATACATATATATATATGTATGTATTTTTTTTTAATAAAAAGGAGGTTTCATTAAGATAGAAGAAAAAAACGATGAGATACAAGATAGAGAAGGCCTAAGTGCCTAACTACACCACATTCAAAAGTTTGCTACCATTTATCCAGAATAAATCTAAACCCCAACCCCTGAAGGTGTTATCATGAATCAACCACTTTTTGCGTCTTGAAGCCCAACTCCATGCTTGAATATGTTTAAAGCACTGTTGGATGATACTTTCCGTTGTGTGGATTTGGCCTTCATGAATTGCTAAGTTTCTTGCCTTCCAGAGGTGCCAAGCAATGACACCGGGCAAAATGATTCGCAGAACACCTTTGAAGGAGAACGTATCACCGGAGAACCACCAACTGATGAAGATTTGGTGAACTTTGAGGTTGGGCGCTGTGAAGGGTGCATCAATGAGAGTGC